AAATGTCCAGGGGGGTGGGGGGGCGGAGCCAGCAGTTAGCGTAATGGCTATGTCGCTGGACTCCCGGAGTCGACTGCAGTTCACATCCCGGACCCGGTGGCTTAAAACTCACGCCGGGTGCGTGTGCGTGCGTGCCCAAGATCCCAAGAGGAGAATGGAGGAGAATGAATTGTGGCGTGGCCATCCCCCCTGGGGGGTGATTTCTCGCTTTCTGTCTCTCTGTCTCTGTCTGGCGAGCACACGCGCCCTATAGTGAAAACCTCTCAAAAAAAAAAACGGGGGAACAGAAGAGTCACTTCAGGAAATATTCGTTCCATGATTTAGTCAGATGATGGGGAAATCCTAAATATGAAAATTTGGGGGATAGCAGGTGCCCTAGTGGTTAAGGCGTTGGGTCCCACATGGCCGACTGTGGTTCCAGCCTTGGCGGCTTTCTCTCTCTCTCTCTGGTGAATTAAAATAAAAATAGCAAGATATGCAAACTTTGGCCCACACTTCATGCTCTGTCAGATACTGCTTTGATGGACAGTCCTTTATTATCCTTTCCCGAGAGCAAAAACCAAGGACCCCAAATATGAGGCAGAGCTTCAGATCCTCCTTACTAGGGTAGGGAGGGGAGTCTGAGGTGGGTAGGTCCCAATGGGGTGACTGCTCCAGAAATCCGCCTTTAGGAACACCTGCCCGGTGCCACTTTGACCCAGAAAGCGGCGAAAGTTACCGGGCTCCTAAGATTCTCCTCTTTCCGGGGCGGCAAGACATCTGATCCGAGAACAAGTCCCGGTTGCTTTAAGCGTTTCGTTATAGATGACGCTGAGGGCGGCGGGCGGGTTCTGAAGGTTCTGTTCGGTGTAATGCAGTGGAGGGGATGCTGAGGTCGTTCTTCCAGGAGGGCTTTTTTCAGGTGAAACAAGTGGAGAGTAGCTGGCAATTCAGACAGTTCAGCAAAGTGCTGCGTCTTTCCTGCGGGATTCCAGGAGGAACCCGGCAGGGGTACCCCGAAGGTCCGGCGCCGATAGGTGGAGGTTAGGGGGAGGTACTATTCACGGCACTCTGGCCCCGGGGGACATCTTCCCTGACCCTCGTAGCCAATAGCTGACCCCGACTGAGGCCCACGCAGCCAATTACCAGCCCCAGCAGTGACCCACACAGCCAATGATCGGCCCAGCGCGTTCCTCTAGGCCCCGCCTGCTAGTGCTCACCAATCAGGGCTCGGGCAACCTTGGCACCGCCCCTGGGTGCCCGCCCCACCCATCCGCCCCGCCTCCAACTCGCTGGAGCAGGACTGGGCTAGACCCGCGCGCTCTTGGGGGTTGGGGGGAGCGATCCGAGCCCCGGCCCTCCGCGCGGGTGGGCTGGAGCAGGGCGCGCCGGGCAGCAACCCCCATTCCTACCGGAGGCCCCCCCTGCCCTCTCCCCCTTGCCCCCTTGGCCCATGGTGCGAGGCTGGGAGCGGCCGCCCGGGCCGGATCGCGGTGAGTGATCCCCAGCCCCTTGGACTTCCCCTCCCGGCCAGTGTACGATCTCCGACCTCCGGAGTCCCATCCCCGCGCTGGGGGGGAGGAGAATTCTAGGTTTGAAGTCGCCTGGTTCTCTCTCCTTTCTCCTCTGGACTTTTCAGCGCCCTGTTGTAACTGGTGGAGGGTGAGTGGGTGTGTTAGGAGGGGAAAGGCTGGGTTGGGACGCCCTTGTCCAGGGGAGGATTGAGATTCGCCTGCCTTGTGGGGCTCGTCGCCCCATGAGCAGCAACTTTTTGTTCTCTGACCCAGTTCGGATCCCCCTAGATGGCCTGTGAAATGGAGGAAAGAAAATACGTTTCCTTCCCAGGTCTCCCCTCAACCCCCATGACTACCTCCTAGCAACCTCAGCACACGTATAGAACCCGGCATTATTTCTGGGAAGCAGTGGCCTTTGAAAATGAATGGTTTAGAAGAACCTGCCCTTCTGGCTCCCGATTCCAACCATACTCAGAAAACCAACCAGGAAACTGTCAACCCGATTCCTCAGAGGTTCCTGGTGTTGCATCCTAATCTGAGACTTCTAAACAGAAAAAAAGACTCAAGCCTGAGACCTGTTTGGTAACGCGGGCCCAGCTCAGGAGATCTTTTTATATCATGTGAACCTCTTCACCAAACATTTGAAGCCCCTTTATATTGTATCATTAGAATAGGTAGCCGGCAATAATTGAAAAGGTCAAAATGGAGAATTTTTAAAATAATGCATACATATCTTAAACATCATACGTTCATTTCACCAATTTTGTAGTGTAATGCCAAGATTTTTGTGTGTATAAGTATGTTGATTGGAGTTCCCAGTTGTCTTCCCTAGTATTAACTATACAAGGAAGTCTCAAATCTACACGCATCTCTAAAACTTTTTAAAATTATAGATGCTGGGACCTCAGTCCCTACGGATAAAATCAGAACAGAGAGGGAGGACGGTGGCCTGCTTTTTAAATTTCCTCGGTACTCCTAGTGTATAGTCTGAGATGAGAGCCACTCACACTTTCCAGTTTTAAGTGAGAATTTAGACATATTTGAAGCAATCTGAGTACAGAATACTTCTGAAAATATGTGTGTGTGTGTCTTTAGACAAGGTCTCCCCCTGTCTCGTGATCCTCCTGCCTTAGCTTCCCAAGTAAGAGGACTTGACTTTTTAGAGTGAACTAGGAATCAAATCAGGTCTCCTGTGCAGCCTCAGCCTGCTGAGCAGTGGTGTCCAGCATGTACCACAGCCTGGCCTACTTTTGAGATTTTTAAGTCTTAGCTTTCAGTCTTTTGCAGGTGGCTTGTCCACACCTAACTCAATCTGAAAATGTATATTCTGCTTTATGTTGTGTTTCTCCAAAGCATTTGACTTAGTTTTCATATGAACTTTAAAAAAAAATGATTTAATTTTATTTATTCATTTACTTATTATTTTTAATTTGACCAGTGAGAAACACACACACACACACACACACACACACACACACACACGGGGGGGTGGGGGGTGGGGAGGAGAGTAAGCCACCAGTTCCGGGACTTGAACCGTGGTCGACCATGTGGGAGTGTCCAGCACCTTAACCACCATGCCACCAGCTAGTCCCCATATGAACTTTTTTTAAAAAAAGAGGTTTTTGCCTTAGGGCATGTGTGCTCACTTGAGAGAGAGACAGAAACAGTAAGAGGGAAGGTGAGAAATCACCCCCCAGAGAGGATGACCACACGCAATCCCTTCTTCATTCTTTTCCCAAGTGTTGGGCACACACACACACACACACACACACACACGCCCAGTGTGATTTTCAAGCTACCAGGTCCAGGACTCAAACCGCGGTTGGCTATGTGGGAAGTCCAGTGACCTAACCATCATGCCATCTGCTGGCCACATAGGAACATTTATTTTCTTTTTTATACATTTTTGCTATAAGGTGCCTGCACTCGCCAAAAAGACAGAGAAACAGAGAGACAGAAAGCGAGAAATCACCCCTCCCCCCAGGGGGGATGGCCACACTGCAATCCCTTCTCCTCCATTCTCCTCTTGGGATCTTGGGCACGCATGCACACGTGCCTGGCACAAGTTTAAGCCACTGGGTCTGGATTCGAACCACGGTAAACTACATGGGAGTCCAACAACATAGCCATTACGCCAATTGCTGGTCCAATATAGGGACTTTTTTTTTTTTTTTTTTTTTTTTTGTGCGCTCGCCAGACAGACAGAGAGAGACAGAGAGATAGAAAGCAGGAAATCACCCCCCAGGGGGGATGGCCACGCCGCAATCCCTTCTCCTCCATTCTCCTCTCAGGATCTTGGGCACGCACGCACACGCGCCCGGCGTGAGTTTAAGCCACCGGGTCCGGGACTCGAACCGTGGTCGACTACGTGGGAGTCCAGCGACATAGCCATTACGCTAACTGCTGGTCCCCTATAGGAACATTTTTTAATGTAGTGGGATTTCATAGATTTATGTGATTGTTTAACTACATTATACAGAAAAGCCATGAGCATAAGCAGATTTGGTACCCCACAAATTTGACCCACATAGGACAAGTGAATGGAGTAGATGATTTCTTGTATTAGAGAGTAGCCTAGAGACCTCTAGTTTCCAGTACACTGTGGGTACTGGATATAATCCAGTGGGTCAGTTAAGCCAGGCTTCTGGCCCAGTCAAGCACCTTTCCCACTCTCTCCAACTAATATCACAAATACCCTGTCCCTTTTAGACTTGTTGATATTCCGTTGAATCTTCCATCCACTCTTTCTATTCATTCACTAGAACAGTTTGTCATTTTTAAGTGACCACCACTGCTTTCATTAAGTTGGGAAGATGTAAGACAAGTTCTTTTTTTTTTTTTTTTTAAGTTTTTGTTATAGGGCATGTGCACTCACCAGAGAGAGCCAGAGAGGGAATGTAAGAAGTCACCCCTCAGGGGTGATCTTCCATTCTCCTCTCAGGATTTCAGGCACATATGCACATGTACCTGCTGTGATTTTCAAGTTGCTGTGGCCAGGGCTTTAATTGTACTGTTGGTTGGCCATATGGGATCCTAACGTCCATGCCATCAGCTGGCCCCAACACAGAGATTCTTAACCTGGCTTTCTGGCTATCAGTGAAACCCCCTGAGGTCACTGTGAGAATGTGAATGTTTATTTGTGGGGAATTAGGAAGAGTCATAACTTTTGAGATTCAAAGTCATAACATCTGAATTTCAAAGAGGTTCAGCATCCAAAAAGTTAAGAAGCATATACATTTAATATTACTGAAAGTCCTTAAGGGGCCCTAAAACTGTATCACTAAAACACATTTGAGGCAGTACTTCAGATCTTCTCTCAATAAAGATTTAGGGAATCCAGCAGGAACATTTCTGATCTCTCCCTTTAATGATCTCTAACTTTAACCATAAGCTTTGGTTCAGTCTAAATTCTTTTTCTTTTTTTAATTTGCCAGAGTGCACATGTATTTGTTTTTTTTTGGGGGAGGAAGAGGGAGGAGGCATCCCCCAATAAGGCATGGTCACATACAGTCCTTTCTCCATTTCTCCATATGCTGTTAGGGTCTTAAAGGCACACACGTGTGCCCAGTGTATTTCTCAAGCTAAGGCCAGGTCTGAACCATGCAGTCGATCATGCAAGATCCAGCTCTCTTAACTATCAGGCCACAGTAACCTAAATTCTAAAGTCCTCTTTTTCCTAGGGTTATGTGAACAGTGAAACTGGAAGTTTAAGATAATCCATTCTTCCCTGCCATCTGCCCAGGGAAAAATGGAAAGTCCCAAGCAAAGAATAGCATACTGGGGATCAGCAGTTGGTGTAATGGCTATGTCGCTGGACTCCCATGTAGTCGACCGTGGTTCGAGTTCCCGACCCAGTGGCTTAAACTCACGCCGGGCACGTGTGCATGCATGCCCAAGATGCCAAGAGGAGAATGGAGGAGAAGGGGTTGCAGAGTGGCCATCGTCCCTGGGGGGTGATTTCTCGCTTTCTGTCTCTGTCTCTCTCTGTCTTTCTGGCGAGCGTACGTGCCCTATAGCAAAAACCTCCAAAAATAAAAAATGAAAAATCACTCCCCGGAGGGGATGGCCATGCCACAGTCCCTTCTCCATCCTCTCTGGCTTTTGGGCACACATCCACATGTGCCCAGAATGAGTTTTAAGCTGTGGGTCTGGGACACCGACCACAGTCAACTATACGGGAGTACAGCAATATAACCATTATGCCATCTGCTGGTCCTGATTCCCTTTTTCTATTTAATCCAAAACGGAGACATGAAAACACAAGTGTCCTCGTCATGGTCTTGATTACTTAGGGTCTGTGCTACTTGTTATAATTTTCATGAGGTACTTTCTGTAGTTTTCTCCCAGTTCAATGCCAGTTTCTTTCAGGAAGTACCAGTTATACAGCTGTGCCTTGACTTAAACCATCATTCTGTTCCAGAAAGTTTTCTAGAGGGAGGAGGCATCCCCCAATAAGGCATGGTCACATACAGTCCTTTCTCCATTTCTCCATATGCTGTTAGGGTCTTAAAGGCACACACGTGTGCCCAGTGTATTTCTCAAGCTAAGGCCAGGTCTGAACCATGCAGTCGATCATGCAAGATCCAGCTCTCTTAACTATCAGGCCACAGTAACCTAAATTCTAAAGTCCTCTTTTTCCTAGGGTTATGTGAACAGTGAAACTGGAAGTTTAAGATAATCCATTCTTCCCTGCCATCTGCCCAGGGAAAAATGGAAAGTCCCAAGCAAAGAATAGCATACTGGGGATCAGCAGTTGGTGTAATGGCTATGTCGCTGGACTCCCATGTAGTCGACCGTGGTTCGAGTTCCCGACCCAGTGGCTTAAACTCACGCCGGGCACGTGTGCATGCATGCCCAAGATGCCAAGAGGAGAATGGAGGAGAAGGGGTTGCAGAGTGGCCATCGTCCCTGGGGGGTGATTTCTCGCTTTCTGTCTCTGTCTCTCTCTGTCTTTCTGGCGAGCGTACGTGCCCTATAGC